AAGCAAATGTAAACTCACTGCAAATGCAAACTAAAATCAGGTGTTGTATTGACTCCTGGAATGTCATGATTTATATTTAATTAACTTGTGGCAAGTTTTGCCATTTCCCTGCAGCCCAGGTTGTTAACTCCAACGGACTTAGGATGGGAGCTCTCCCTACGTGTCTGCCTTTGGGGGCGGAGTCTCTCATTGCTTTCAGCTGAGAGTATTAGCTCTCAGGAAGCACAAATTCAAGAAGAGGTCTGGAGACAAAGAGGAGAGGAGATATAGACAGTAGACCTAGGATATCCATAGAGGAGTTTAATTTCAATTTATAATTTAAACCACAAACTGAATTTGTTTGTTCTCAGCCTTTAATAGCACATTATTTGAAAAAAACGAAATCATTTTCCACCATGATAAAATAAAAAGCCTACTTATTTCCTCTCAAAGTCTAGTTATTAAGTTATATTTAATGTTTCATGTTATCTGTTCTACTCACAAGTTAAAATGTAAGGACATGAATAATGTACAATACTATTTGAGAGAAAAACAATTAAGAAATTTTAGTTATTGGTAAAATTTGTTAACCAAAATAATACATTTTTAATTGAGAAACTTATTTACAATAAAGAAAAGAAATTCAGTTATTAGTAAAGCATAATATCTCAATGAATCAGTTTGGGGTCCTATCAGTTGAGAAAACTGCCTGTAAATACTTTGTCATTCAAAAATTTCATGCTGCCACACATGCAATTTGTGAAATTAATGTTGAATAGATATATATCTATAGATATAGATATAGATAGATAGATCTCAAAGGTTTCCCATTTACCATGCAAATATTTGAAACAAATTTGTTTCAAACTAAATACTCTTCTAAAAGACAAAATTTAGTTTAGCAAATTATTTACTTAATTCTGCCCAATTTTCTTATGTGTAAATTCAGGAGTGTGGAGTGAATCACTTTCAGTTCTAAGTTTATTTATTGGGAAGACACTGAATAGTTCCATCTGATGATCAATTATTGTCATTGAAAATAAGAGAGTACTTATAATACCTGACAGAAAGGATTTTGAACATTTTGTCAGCTTTAGTGTATTCTACTATACTAATACTCAGTAATAAAATTCATGTCTTCTATTTCATACATACAGTAAAGAAGAATGAATGACATTTCTTATAATATTGATGATTTCGCAACCCAAACTGACCCTGCATTTCTATTTGGGGGAATTTCACTCTATGGGCATAACGTCATACATTTACAAGGTTGTTTAATATATTCATAATGTTATAGCCAAAAGTTAGAAACAAATTTAATATCAAAATTAAAGTGACATCCTTTAAAAAGAGTAAAATACTTTAGGTCTATGAACAAAAGTTTTGCTAAGATAGGAGACCTTATGAAATGTCACTAAATGAGAAATACTAGCTGAAAACATCTGCTCCCTAAAGGAGATTGTAGTTCCTTTTATGCAAATAAAAGTGATATGAAAAGTTTTTACACATATGTGGAAGACATGTGCCTATATCCTGGCAGGGGCATGGAAGATTCTGCCAAAGGGCCATGTGTGTAAGCAGCAGAGATGGTGCAGGCTGCCCCAGGTTGCTGTTGGAGAAAGAATGAGACTTGCAGGCTCCCTTGAAGCCTATTAAAATATTTTTATAAAATTTATGCCATACTCTGGTTTGAGGCAAGTGTAACTTTTATGACTATGTCAGAGAAAGAGAGAAAAAGAACTTGAATTATAAGCTCATTTATAGACACAACAACCTCAAATAAAATTTTATTTTGCTTAAATTTTATAAATAAAACTCAATAGAAGCTGAAAATGTACTAATTTACTAGGTATAAAAAATGACAACAAAGGCCAGGAATTTAGCTCAGTGGCACCGTGCCTGCCTGACAAGTACAAGATCCTGAGTTCGATTCCTGGTACCTAAAAAAAAAAGACAATAGTATATTGACAAAATCTTTGGGTATATCAATACATATGGAAATAGTAATTGGTAAAGATTAGCCCCTATATTGTTAAAAATAAAGCTTTTTAAAAAACAGTGATAGTGGGATACAGAATTATTGTGGAAGCAGAGAATTGCAAGCTACATTATACATTATTCAGATACTCTGTAGGATACAACAAAAGGAGCCAAAATTTTTACATAACAAAATAAATACACAGGTAAAAGGTTTATACCATAAGAATTTTTATGTGAAAATAACCCATAGACATAAACAACAATGGTGTATGTTTTTCATACTACACTTACATTTATATATCGAGTGATTTGAAGAACATTAGGTGCATACATTAAACCAAGTCCCATAGGCAAAACCAGAACAACACATTGAACAGAAGTTAAAGGAGGCAAAAAGTAAAATAAACAAAACTCTGGAGGCTTTTCTTGACCAAAGATGGTATAATGTGATGAACAACAAATGTGGTCAGAGGCTCTCTCTATTATTCCCAAATAAATACAGCAATGAAATAGCACACATCCTGTCACCAGCATGGCATCTCCAACATAACCGTGGCACCATCTGGATTTGGGACTAAATGCAACGAGTGGACACAGCAGTGAGTAGTGTGGGCAGTCATGGGGAACCTTTTGGACGTTTCAGCTGCTCTCTGCAGCACATGTGCCATAGGTTCGCCATCACCGGCATACAGGCTTTTGAACTGAGGTCAGTATTCCTATTGTGCTACTCAACATTTTTTCTTTACCTCAGGACAGTCCTTTAGCCATTCTACATCTTTGATTCCTTAATTTTCAAAATAAGACAATAATATTTACCTTCCTGGCTTTTTTCATGCCTGAGGAAGAATACATAAGTACCCAGTGAAGAGTTGGCATTTTAACAAATATTTGTTCTTTTCTTCCCAACCCAAGTTACCAGCCCCACCATGGAAAGGAGTTTTAAGAAATACAGAAGTACTCCTATAAATGCTTACTTTATATTCAACGATGTTTTCAAAATATCTTCCATTCTTCAATCCTAGCTCAATATAACTTTAGTCTTAGTTCTATATTATAGGACCAATAAAAAAGAGAAAAATAAAAAAATATTATATGTGAAGAATTATGCATGAACTTTGTCTTATAAGTAAGAAACTTAGTTCTGTCATAAAAACCCTGATAAATGTTGATAGAATTTCATTTTAGCCTTGCAAACTCAGTGAGTACATTATCATTGATGTATTTTTTTATAATTAATGATGGTATTGCTCTTTTCTTCCATAATAGGTGCATTTATTGAGAAATTTCCCACTGTTTGACTGACAGGTTTCATCCTCTGTTCTTTTTCCCTGTGGTTTCCCCAGTTATAATGCTCAAAATTTATAGAGTTTAGATTTTCCTTGCTGTTATTTCATGTTCCTATTTGCTGTCTGTTCACAGGATAAGGAGAGGAGACTGCCATCCTGGGATGGGCGTGATGCTTGGGGACTGGCCTCTAGGTTGTGGTACCATGCATAGATTCCGACCCAGACAGGTCACAGAGAGGTCTCATTTTTGCAAAGTGTTGACTGCATAAAACAGTTGAAGGAATCTTTCAGCTTGTTTGAAGGCACCTCAAGGCTCATGAGGTTTAGAAAAGTGGATTTAAGGTGTACTTCTAAGACCATCTATGGCAGTTAACCACTCAGAATCATGCTGAGACTCTGGTGACTGTCACGGATTTAACATCGGCAGCTTACAATAACCAAGGTTCTTCTAATCTTCTGTAAATCGCTGTTAAGAAGCAGTGAAAATGAAGACCTGGCTGGCTGGAGGGTGCCTGTCACAGCAGATCTTAGGGGATAGAGGGGCCGGGCTAGCACTTCTCCTGAATGTATTTTTTCTTACCATGCCTGATGGGGGAATGTGATGCTCAGCTACAAACTTTAATGGAAAGAATGATCATTCACAAAGTCCTCAAACTTAGCTGCACATATTTAATTTAAAAAGTTTACTGGCCATTTGGAGAATCGGTACTTCCTTCTCACAAGCGGTATCAAAACATAGTGATGTTAGTAATTTAGGGATTGTCAATCTTTTGTCTTTAAAACATGGCTGAAAAAGTAATATTTCATTTTGCTGTAGAACAGCAAGTCCTTCCGCAGTATTTTTCTCTGGACAGTTTATTACTTTCCATGGAGGACAGGCAGGAGGAACAGAGCCAGTGGACCACTGTGTTTCCTTACACTGAATGAGCAAGCTGCTGGCTCTCTGGATTTCACTTTTCGTGTTCTATGGTTATCTGGTTGATTCTGTCATCTCTTCACTGCCTGGATTTTTACATGTCTTTCCTTACAAACGTGTGAGCATAGATGAAAAGTAGCATCATTTGAAACAACTTGTTTTGCTTTTAATCAGGTTGACTGATGATTCTTCCATCACACTGTTCTAATTCCCTTTCATTGCCCTTCTGGTACCTTATTGCTGGAAGTAAGTGTAGGTGACAAACAAATCACACTTGATTCTCAACTTAACATGATGAGGACCAAAAGGAGCCTCAGTCTTAGTCGAGGGTCTGCACTTTGCAGTGAGGAATGGGCACCCTGAGAGGGGCGAGGCCTGCAGGAGGCTGCAGCAGCTGCTCCGTGCCAGGTGTGTCCAGAAGCCAGGTGTCTCGCTCCTGTTGTTTGTATTGCTCTGTACCAGAAACATTTTGCTCTATTCCTAATTTACAGAGTGCTGTCAGTACAGACCCCAACAGCCAGCCTTTGCTGTGGACCTACCTAACATGCTGGTAGCTTCAGGTGTTTAACAGTGCACCTGGCAGAGTAACTTCTGTGACTGCTCAGGTGACACCTTGTGAATACTGCTTGAAGCCTCACAAGGTCAGCCTGGAAGGATTGTCACTACATACGGATCCACATAGATGCAGTCTTCCTTGGAAATATCCCTGAAAATGTCATTCTCACTGTTAAAGACAAACGCCGGATGCCCTAGCAGTGTTACGATTGCAAATTATAACGGCAACCTGAGCCTTTTTCTCTTGCCGCTGATCTATGGATTCTGTTTTGCTGTCCTAGGTTTGTGTGCTGGAGAGGCAAATATTCGACTTCCTTGGATACCAGTGGGCGCCCATCCTTGCAAATTTTGTACATATTATTATCGTCATTCTTGGTTTATTTGGAACTATTCAATATAGACCTCGTTACATAACGGGAGTAAGTACGATTTCTGCCTTTTTCTAACTTATTGAAATAAAGAACAATGCTTAAAATATAAATACCTGACAGAAAGGCATATGCACCTTCTCTTAGGGATATGCATACCTCTCTTCCATCCTATGTGCTTATTTTCAGTCTCAGTGACATTAACAGTAATTGAAAACGTCAGATTTAAAGCATTTGATTGTGAATGTAATCAGATTGTATTTCCATAAATTGAACTTTCAGCAAATATTCTCCTTTAATTACAAACAGACATGTGACCCTGTATGTCTAAGCTATAAAGTCGTGGTCTCTGAATTAACAGATTTTAGTGGTAAATTTTTGTCTCCTCTGAAATCATCTCATTTTATAAATTGGATAAAAATAGTGTGGCCTCAATACAAACTAACATGCACAATCAGTGTGAAAATATAAACACGTTCGTGTTCATATTTGAAATTCGCCAAAGCCAGAATGTTCTGCAGCACTGTCTATGTGTTCTCCATAATTATCTTTTTGGCTCAGAGGAAGTATTTTACATTTCCACTCAAGTTAAACTTACTTCACATCAAAGTGAGCTCCAACTGTGTCGCAGTTGCTATGGGAATTGTAACTTAGGTGTTTTTTTTTAACTTTCATATGTGCCTCAGCTCTAAGCTCTCCTTCATTAATGTAGATTTCTTTTTTAGTTTCATCATTTTTTTCAATTTCTTCCGTTTTTGACAAAGGAGGTCTCTAGGCATTTCTTTCACATGATCAGGCCGGCGTGCAGGAGAGCACACACAGACATGGGTACAGCTAGCGGCTCCCTGGCCCAGGCCAAGCAGCAGACCTCCTGGGGCCGCATGAAAGGTGCCCTCCTGTGACCTGTGCTCCCTGCTCTCCAAGAGGAGCACTGTGGGGTGCTGGCTGCAAGGCCTGAGCTGTCTGGCTAGGAGTGAGAAGCCATGGTCTTCACCTCGGGAAAGGACCCCAAGACCAGGCCCCAGGGGTCACCACTGAGGCCAGATAGCTCCCGGTCTTGCAAGAAGTGGGCAGCGGGAGTTGTGCATTGCATAAGAGATGGTGTCACCCAGCTTCCTCTATAAGCTGCAGTCTGGCCTGGTGTAGGATGGACAGCACAGGGCCTGGCATGCAGCTTCTGAAGTCGGAATCCAGCACTGAAATCTGAGATCTGCCATGTTCTCTGTGACTTTGGACTACTTCACCTCAACCATCTTCAGCTTTCTTATCTTTACATAAGAAGTAATAATTATATTAGATCATAATTCTTTAATTAGTTGATGTACTATTAGCTTTCTATGTAAAATTCCTAACTTTCCTCTTATTAAATGTTGTGCCCCCTTCCTTATTTTATTTTTATTTATTTATTTATTTATTTTCTTAAATTCTTTTATTGGTACATTGTAGGTATACAACACAATTACATTTCTCATTGGGAATTGTACCTTTACATAATGCATCTTGGTTCTTATTTTTTCCCCTTCCCCTGCCCTCCCTTCACTCCCTCCACCCTTCCCTATTTACAAAGACTTTATTTCCATTTTTTCCATTTCTCATCATTTTTCCTTTCCCTTCTTTCCTTTCCCCTGCCCCCCCCACTTCCCCTACCCTTTTGGACCTTTTCTTCCTATTGGAAACAGCCCAAATGGCCATCAACTGGAGACTGGATAAAGAAATGTGGTTTTTGTATAAAATGGAGTACTACTTAGCCATAAAAAATGAGAAATTAGAGACATTTATAGCTAAATGGATGCACATTGAGGCAATACTCTTAAGTGAGATAAATAGGACACACATGTATAAATACCAAATAGTTTCTCTGGTGTGAGAAACTGAAAGTGTAAATAAGGTCTAAATGTATAATAGGTAATGTGAAATAGGAAGAAAAGGGAGAAAGGGGAAGGAAGTGGGAGGGGTAGGGGAAAAGAAAGAAGGGAATGGGATTAATATGAGAAAATGGAAAAATAGGAACAAAATCTTTGTAAATAGGGAGGAATGGAGGGGTTGAAGGAAGGGCTGGGCAAGTGTGAAAAATAAGAACCAAGATAGACTATGCAAAGGTGCAAATTTCCAATGATGAATGTCATTACATTGTATACCTAAAATGTACCAATGATTAGAATGAATAATCGATAATCCTTATTTTATTTGTATAAAAATATTGCTCTGAGCTTGATTAGATAAATGCACATCATCTCCATTTCTGATGAAGTGATTTGTATAAAAAAATCTAGATATGGTTCAAAATGTTTAACACTTCAAAAATTCAGAGGTTTCTATTGAGGAATAAGTTGGATAGTCCATGAAATATTCTCATCACAATGCCTAGTGATTAGGACCTGTTCATTATATGTTAGTGATGATATTTTTCTTACTATTATTTGAAAATAAGAGTAAAATGCCTAGCATAACAATAGTCTGGAAAGAAATAGAACGCAAAGCAAAGTGTTCCAGACACTGCTGTAGATGAACTATTTCCTTCCCTTTTATTACAAGGTGCCACGACTCCTAAAATTTACGATTTCTACCTATTAAATTATAATATCTCTCCCGTAGATGAAAGATTTACTCTCAAATTTGAATAATACTGGCCACTTTCCCTGGTGCGACATCAGAGTTGAAAACTAGGAGCCAACTCTGTTAAATTTGCTAGAACTTTGGTGTAATAGCATCTATTAGACACAATTTGAAATCCCTTTGAGCTTCTGAAGGAAAGAATATGCATGTGGAGCTACACTAGTGATTTTATCTTTTTCTTGTAGAAAGCACCCTTACTTTGATTTTTCCCAAGACAGTGTCTTACTTTGAGAATCTTTCGGCCAGCCCAAGAGCCTCTGAATTGAAACCTCTACAGTCCAACTCAGCGAGGCATAGATTGAAAACAGAGCCTCTGAATTCCGCTTGAAAACTAATTCTTCAGCTTCTTTCTCTTCAAATACGAAGCTATATGCAGATAAAAAAATGATGGCGAGCTCTGTCAACCGATTGCTTGGAGATATCGTAAACAGATCAGCAAGTTCATAAGCATGTTACCTGTCTTCCCGATTATTTTATGCTGTAGGCAAAGCATTGTTCTAATTACCATGAAACCCCAACAGCCCCAAAATTATTTCCTCCTGCTCTCCCAGCTTCACTAACAGTCCCCCTGTTACCCTTCTGCCCTCCACCTGACAGCTTTTCTCAAAACCAAAACTGCACCTTCTAGGTTTGGTGAATGGTATCACTCAGTGACTTGTATAAATTTTTCTTCTCTCTACTTCTGTGTAATTTACATGGCTGAAGGCCAAAAGCAAATTCAGGAAAATAAGGAATTAGCTATGAAAATGGAGCACAGAATTTCAATTTGCCTAAAGATGACAAAAGGAATTAGAGGTAAATGAATCTTAAATGGAAAAAAAAATGAGAGAAATTCTGCTCAGTGAAGAATCTTGGTGTAGAAGAAAATTGTAGGATTCAGGGGCATGCTGGAGCTGACAATAATCTATTTATTGCTGTACTCATGAAATTTCTGCAAGCTGTCTGCACTGGAGATTCAGATATTAGCTATGAAGTTATTTCTCTCTCCATTACAATACAGGATTTTATAACTTCTGTATTGGGCAATTCCTCTTTTTATAAAATAATGCAGAATAAAAGTAGGCAAATTTAATATTTTGCAGATTTCCTTCATTTTCTACAAATTAAATGTGTCTGATCATACTGAATATCTCATATGATAAAACATTTTTATTTAAAAATATTAGCAAATTTAAAAACAATATTCCATTGTTCATTTAACATTTTGCCTTAATGTTGTACATGATGTCATTTCCATGTTTTACTATTCTAAATAATTCCCTATAGTAATACACTCATCTTTATTTGTGGATCATTTCTCATGAGAAACATGGTATGAAAATAAAATGAACAGTTTTAAGGTCCTCACTATATAATGGACAATCACCTGTCTGGAGTTATTCTCCCATGATTATACTATACATTTCCTGACACTGAGTACTGTCTGCTTGCATATATAAAAAGAGGAAAATTGTCATCTTTGATTCAATTGGATTTCTTATCTCTAGTGAGTTGGACTTTTTCTTGTTTATTACCCATTTTGTTTCCCTTTTGGTAAAATTGTTTTCAGATCTTCATTTTTTTCCTAGAATCATAGTGTTTATCTTATCTATCTACCATCTATTGATTATAAAATATAATGTTTGTATAGTGTATGATATAGTTATGTTATTAACATATAGATCATATGATATAATATATAATATATGAATGGAAAATAGGTAAAACTCATTTCTCAAATTTCATAAAAGTAGACCTGACAGTATATAAAAATAATAGTAATACTTCTGAGCGTCCTATTTTTCTTAAAATAATAATCAATATTACCATTATATAATAAAGATATTTTCCTCTTAAATATAATGTTTCATTTTTATGTTTATTACCTTCATCTGATTTAAATTAATTCCCTTCTCCTTTGTATCTTCTATTGCTTTTGAAGTTTTAAAGATTAAATACCATTTTGCAAAAGATAATGTTAAGACCAGCATCTTTTGATCTAATGTAACTAAAACAAAAAGGCTGATGGTTTCAAAAAGAGACTAAGAACAAAACTTTTTTTACTTTCTTTAGTGATGAAGGATTTCAAATTACTTATGGGACATTTTGTTATATTTAATTAAAATGCCCCCTCTTAAAATTGACATTTTCTAAAATTCTAAGCATAGCAACAACAAATACAATTGAGATAGTATTGGCAATGAATTTTTTCTTCGCTAATATTTTTCTTTTCATAGAAACAGAGAATTATAATTTCTACACTTAAAACAACTAATTTTAACAAGAACTCATTGATTCCATTTGAGGACCTCTAACCCTTCAAAGAGTTTAATATGTTGAAGGAAAGTGAAGTAGGTCATTTCAATTCCAAGCAGAGAAAATCTGAAGCCAGAATCTGTAGGAAGAGTCAATGTTGTTTAATTTTATGCCATATTAAACCCCAAAGAAAAGAGAAA